CGTGTTTTTTTCTGTCACGTTTGTGGCTATACGATACGTACATTGTACCAACAATAATATTACGGATAGCCGATTATAAAATAGGCCGCACTGCACGAGTTATATATCACCCACGTAATACAGGTGATGTAATATCAATATCGTTAACATCTGTTAACAAGAATTATCAAGGTTGGTATCTAATTTATAGCATAATCAGAAATATGTCGGACATAATTGACACCTTCAGTCATTTCTGTTAAATATAGGTTTACCTCCTATTAGTTTAGTTAACCTATGTTTAACCCCCACCCCCTAAAAACAATAAACAAAAACAAACAAAAATATGGTGAGGATTAGATACGTGTTGTGACAGCTTCTATATGAACAAAAATCAACGTCGTCTTCTGCTTAGGATTTCAATAAATAAATAATAAATAAAGTAAATTTAAGAAGGCTTCAGTATAGAAATGTTAATAATAATTAGCTTGAGAATTCATTTGAAAGCGTAAGAAATTCATTCACACACCTGACAGTGTTGAGAGTGAACTTGTATTATTTTCTTGACAAAACAACACACAATGCTACATTACCGTGTGACATACACGACAATAAAATATATTGTTTTGATGGTAATTATGACACTCTGTCTCTATCTAAGATTTAATCAGAAAGTACCAGTCATATGAAATTTTCACAACGGAAAACGAAAAAAAAGTATACCTCATAAAAGCCAACCAACAATATAAAAATATAGGATTTTTTTTTTATATAAACAATTTATTTACAGGGGGGACATTTTAGCCATTTTAGCATCAAATTCATCGTTCAGAACAAAAGGTATTGGGTCTTAGAATTTGGGCTGTAGATTGTTCGTACGTTCAAAGCCAAAGAAACAACTTGTTTGTTATAATACTTTTTAAAAAAACAGCCCTTTATAACTAGTGCGTCAAGGTTACCTTTTTACCTTGCTTGTTTTGGTTTTGATACAGAACATATTGAAACTATCCGCGAAACCAATTAATACTGTTTTTTTATATGGATGGAAAACAGGGAACATGAATAAAAGAATATCATAAAAGATCTTTTTTTTCATTTGTTTATTTTCAAAATATCTTTCACATAACAATAATATGTACATTTCATTATACATAATAAATTCCACTTTCACACATACTTTCATACTAAATCCACATTACTCTTTTTCTAAGTGGCATTTTATTTATTGTAATGTTATATTAGAAAGGAAAGAAAATCAGATAAAGAGAGTCCAGAAAAAGAAATATAAGAAATAAAGAAAGGGAAATGGATAGATAGTAAGAAAGAAAAAGGGAAAGAAAGAAAAAAGAAAGAAAGAATGACGGACGGACGGACAGACAGACGAGAAGTAAAAATATATTAAACAAAACAATGTAAAGGATTGAAATCTGTTAATATTCAGTGTATAGGTGTTAGTAGCTAGTATAAAATGAACTAAATTATCATTATACACTTGCACAGATATAAGGATAAACCATAGATATAAATATATATATATATAAATATATTGTATCTATAGTATATCCTTATATATCTATGCAACGATAATTTCATGTGTCCTTTCCATGTAAGTTCTTCAACATTGCATACATCTTACAGATTCCCTACAATCTCCATTATAAGCCTGAATCGAACATAGGTTGGTCGGTATTATGTACAAAATTACACTAAATTATTATGTTACAAAAATTATGAAACGAATGTTTTCTCTTATTTTAATAATTAATGACCCTGATGTTGATCCTAAGTAGTTATTTAGCTGATTGTCACAGATTGGCTCAGAATTACAGCATGCAGATATGTAACGAGGGATCGGGGAATGACCTGCGATTCGCCATGTACGTTCGTAAGGTTAAATAACGTACCTTGATTAAAAATCGCTTGGCTGATACCTGTCCATTGAGGATTACAGAGGAGCGACACCTGACATCAAAGCCAGTCAGTTTCACCCTTACGTGACCGACATATTCTTTTGATTGCACATTAAAGGATAAATCGAGTCCTCTCGTCTAAATCAACAAGGTGGTGCACACTGAGCCCTTCGATGTTGCTATGAAATATCCCAGGGGTGCAGAGAGCGAAAGTGAGCCTAACCCATGGAGTATCGAGGATGGCTCGCCTGAAGTTTGGAAACTGGCTACCAGAAGAATACCGTCCAAAGAACAAACGTCTCGTGTTCGTTTTTTTACCGTTCCTGCTGTAACCCACTGCAGTCTCTTATCAGGCGACTAATGTGGGACAATGGCCCTTTTCTTGTATTCTCTTCTTAATTTAGGGATCCCTATCCCACTGCACCGTGATTTTTCGTATACAGAGTGACCTCCCTTTAATTTCGCTTTAAGATAGTTTCGCTCAGTTTCGCTCAGATAACATCGTTCAAGGTTGTAAGCTTGCTAGTTGCTTGTGGTGATGTATGATGTGCTTTTCTTATAATGTATTCTGTACACATGCGTACTAATTTGACTTCTTGTTGCTAGCTATTTATAATTACAGGTTCCGTGACACTTCCGTTGACGAAGTACAGTCAGCTCAGTCGGATAGAGCGACAGTATAACAATTTGAAGTCCATGGTTCGAATCCACTCTGATTGGTTACACCAAGAACATTATTGTTGATTATTTTTGTGATTATTCCATCTCCATCATGTTTTATGAGTCCCGCAATATTTACTTTTTCTTTCAAAAAACCCAACAACATTTCACAAGGTAAAGTAATTCTGGAAAAAATAGTTTTGAAGGTACGGGAATCCTTGAGGGACAATGAATATATCAAAACAGATCAATTGAGCAGTTGGGGCCTATTTTATCTTGCCACACCTATTCTTTACCCTTTGTCTTCAGTTTGGTCCCGTATGTCATCATTATATTGAATTGTTCAGTCTAGTTTTGCCTCAAAGTCTACCTCATTAAAAACGGTTATGGTGTGACATGTGTTAGCATTACTCGCTGACTTTATCAAGTTCAAGTTCAAGTTCTTTATTTGCTGAAGTTTTACAACTTATGGCAATTACAGATCAGACAAAGACACTCACAAGGACACACTCACACTAACTCGCACACATCATCCTCATCATCAAGAACACTCACACTAACTCGCACACATCATCATCTTCATCATCATCTTCATCTTCATCTTCATCATCATCATCATCATTATATCATCATCATTATCATCATCATCATCACATCATTACATCATCATCATCATATCAGCAACAGCAGCAGCAATCATTCGTCATTGATCATAATCACATTCATACGCACGACAGAACCTTTTTCACCCTCTTTCACCCAGACAAGACTTATCAATATAATGGTATATTACATATTTTTTATTTAATAAACTGATATACAACATGTATCTTAACATGACCTGTTCTAGTGGTGACCTCTTAATAAATCTGCTCTACGTTTAAACGCTACTGATAAATACTTTCCTAAATTATTAAGTTCTTTCGTGTTTTCGATTTTGAGTAATTGAACAAATTTATACATACTAGGCCTTCTGGAATAATATTGATTTAGGTATTTAGACCGGAGGTCTGAATAGCGATAACATTTAATTTTAAAATGAAATTCATCTTCTATATCATCTTCATTACATAAAATACATTTTCTTTCTTCTCTAGGAATATATTTGTAACGGCCACGTTCAATGAACAGGTCATACGCACATAAACGCATCTTAGAAATTTGTTTTAAATAATTTAAATTAATTGCCTTATGAAGATATGGTTGCAATTTAATACTTTCCACTAAATGCTGATATAATGCTCCTTTAGAAGAAGAATGAACTTTCTCTAGACAATCTTGCTGAAAACTATCACATACTCGCTGCTTATATACTTCACTAGAATGATTAATACTATCAGTCACAAACATGTCTCCAAGGCCGACTCTTGATAGATCATGTTTTAAGTTAAGGATCCCTATCACTATCTGGACCAGGTTCGTATTGACAATAAGTGCTACGTGCCACGGCCGTATTTGCAGTAGCAGCATTTGTGTTCTTGACAAGAATAAACGATCACCCCAATTTTGTATCTGTTGATCTTCCCTTTATAATATAGTTCCAATCAATTTTACTCATTCTCGCGGTTTTTTTTTAATCAACCATTTTTACTCACTACAATATATGTGTTTCCTGTATTAGACACGGGTGTATCAAACATCGTCTTCATATCGATACCTTTAGTTTGAGTATAATTTGAAAATATAAAATGAATGTATTGGGTGCTAACATACATATATATCGAAGTTTTGAGCTGGTGTTACTGATATGCATAATGGCTACGGCTTGTAATACAAGTATGTGCATGTGTTTACTTCCTTTTACAAGGGAGACTGACGTTATGTTCTTTCAGAAATACCTATCGTCTGGCATGTTATTTTCTTTACAGTAATTTTTAGTCCCATCATGCCTATACACTACTAGTACACGTATGCGGTCTGATATGAAACGGTCGACGTACGTGCATCTGTATATTTATTATAGGATGTAAACAAACACAGTCAGTAGTAATTTTGTACAGTAAATCTTGATCAGATTCCCCACCCTGTGCGACCCCCGTCTATGATATCAGGTAGTGCTGGTGGTCCTAGCATTGAAGACCAGCCACCCGTGAGAACTGCAGGTGGAATTGGACCAACGACTTTGATAGAATAAACATAGAGACAATCGCAGTATATTGTTGGCAGGTACACCTCCCACTTCAATGCAAATGTTATAATTCCCGTGTGTTTGCGTTTTTAACGGCTTATAGAAAATATTGGCAAAGTCACAAGACTTGGAGAAAAGTTTAGTAAAGAAAAAGCCCGACTCTCTCCTTTCTGTATGGCTTCACATGTGTGTAGCATTATGTAGAAATGATATCAATAAGTTGGAGTTTAATAGCATACTTGGATCACTATACACAGGTAAGCACCGCATAGGTGTATAGGTATACGGGACAGCGACTATTTATAGCTCGTGCTGTATAGTAGCGTCCCTGGTAACCACTAAGTACGTTCCCGAGCTGTTATGGGACTACCGGACAGGTGTAACGGACATGTCCACAGTCGGGAGACAGTGTCAGGTATTTGCTGATGGTCATAGAGACGTGTAGTGGGGAAACAAAGATTGATTGTGGGACAGATCAATAGCTGTTTCTTCAAGACAACGGAGTGTAATAATGAGTCCCGTGGACGCGGCGTAACATTGACGTGTCGTTATAGGTGGAAGATACGGGTTTAACGGAGTTCTTATAGTGATAACACATATGTCACACGTGTGCAGACGAACATAAACCCCAAGGGACTCCGACTGGACCCAGTCACCAGACATGTCTGCTCTAACGGATCCGAATGCGCTGGAGATTCTGTCCGGGATGTTTCCACAGGGCAGGGTCCCCAATATTCCTGCCAGAGTAGTACGGGTGTTCCTCGCAGCTTCGGGACCAGGTAAATATAGCTCACGCATATATCCCTCGGGCCAGGTACCGTGATTCGCCAAATCTTTATATTAGTTTAATGATCCGTAGAGATATGTAAATATAAAAAAACAGGGAGCAAAATAAACGACACGGCATTGGTAGATCCAGAAATGAATTACGTGGGTGACGGTGGGGTGGGGGATAAAGTGGTTGACAGGCTCAGGTTGGGGTTCGGACGGGGACGGGGCTGTTCTAAAGCCATCTCCGGAGACCTTTTACACTGTGCTTACATGAATATATCTATCATAGTGGAAAGGCGACATTTTCCGTTCCCTGGTCAGACGTTCACTATATGCAGTCATCAAGTTTGTTTGTTTGCCGTGGCGTCACTGTTATGACAAAACCGGTGCCACCTGTGTGAATCTGTTGTCAGGTAACTAATTAAGGACGACTTCGCTGAATACATAATTAATGTCCCTCCCTATGTTTAGTACCAACCGTACTATGTATAACGCGAAACGACGTATTAATAGTCATTGGGCATGTACACGTACTACTGGATGGTTAAACACTACTTCTTCAATGAATGTTTACACGTATCCTTAGTTTTAAGTAAATCTTATGACTGTCCAAAATGTCTAGTTTATAACACGTCCAATAAAAAAACCTTTCATGTAACGTAAACGACCTTTCCTCTAAGTAACACGGATGAATAATAAATAGAATAATATATTTAGTTTAAACAGTATTTTATTCAATATATGGCAGTAACAAAATAATACAAAATCAACAAAGAGGATTCGAAAACAAGTACCTAGTACTTATATCAGTTCGTCTCCTTATCAATAAACCTGGCAGTAGGACGGCACTGTTACTTATATTAACAATACCACCGAATTAGATTAGATCTAAGTCCGTGACAATACAGAGGAAATGAAATCGATTACTCAACACAATTATTATATACCCATATGTATAATATAACAATAATTACGCTAATATACCTTTGTATAATTTATCGTGCTTGTTGGTAATGAACTTCACTTATATTGTCTGTGGTATGTACTGTTAATCGCTATTGTCATATGTACTGGTGTATGTTATACAATTCAGCCTCCGTGTTCCTTTACAGAAAAAAAAGTTAGATATATAATTCTAAATATCATTTATTGGTAACACGTTTTAGAACGGGGAACACAATGTTTATTTTAGTTTAACTTAAATTAGTTCATTCTGAACGCAGGCATATATCTGCCTCTATATTCAGATCATAGTCCTTATTTATTTTATCATGATAAATAACAATGTTTTTGGTGTGACGTCAGTCCAATGTTGTTGCGAATATCCTTTCATCACTTTCCCAAAATTTATCAATGCGGTTTTCGAAAGTTATTAGATTTGGTGCTTGAATCACGTTCTCATGTTGGTTGACCATGGGCGATATTCCTCTAAGTCGCTGAATCTTATATAACGGCGTAATCTTACACCTTGACAATCATGAAATAAATGGCATTACCAAGATGTTTAATTCTATCCGTTGCTTATTTACCTGTGGCTAGTTTGAGGAAGGTACATTATACTAGTTTACAATGTAGGCACTAACAAAACCCGTTTATGACATTCCAGAGATTTCCGCTCGATAAAGGTTTCAAACATGTTTGTCATGGTTCGTTAATCGCTATTGTTAAGACAGTACGACTTGTCACATCCATATGATTTGCCGTTATGGGTGTGTTCATTAGTACATATGACCCTGACCCAATACAAGTATTACTTAAACTAAGAATTAAACGTTACTTTATCTCGCTCGGAGCGAAAATATGAAAACAAAGCACATTTTTGGGGTCGAAAAGACAAAACAATGAGAATTAAGATTTGTTAATTCTCGCCTTTTCGGGGCGAAAAGACGGTTTTTTGAGTATCGTCTTTCAGGGGCGAAAAGACAAAACTCAACAACGAAATGGCACAAATCGACCATCGTATGTTGTTCAGTCTTATTAATCCATTTCAGACACTTCCTGTAATAAGAGTCTCAACAAACTGAAATCCAATTACTTATATCGTGAGATTGTTTTCGCCTCAGTTTTGCTCTATGACTGGTATACAACGGAAGTAACTGTCGTTCTGTAATCAATGATACCCGGCACTTTTCACCTTGTCGGTTATGATCCCTAAACACGGTAAATTCCGTGTGACTTGGTTATAATCCGTACACACAGCGCTTTTCCCAGTGACTCGGTTATGTTTCGTATGCACGGTACATTCCTTGTGTCTCTTTATACGTACGTATATGGTACATTGTGTGTGTTTCGGTACATCTCGGTATATTCCGTGTGTCTCGGTACTTTCCGAGAACTCATCACACAGTGATAAATGTTTTCCTTTAAAATGAAGAAGAGATTATTATTATCTTAAAGATATAAGGGTTGCGTTTTGAATTCTGCAATAAATAATGCATAGGCACGTCGCTGTCACTGTCGTCATTTCCCCTATGACCTCATGCGCGATGTTGGTGGTACCTTGTGTAACGTAAAATGACGTCGTTTTTATAATATTTGGCGTCGGGTTTTCGACGTTAACGTAATATACACGTTTCAGTGAACGGCTTCCGGGAAGAACGCGATCCCCAATTAAGTTGCTCTAAACCGCTTAATTATCAAAGATTACTCTGAAAATATCATCAAGTCCAAATATAGCTTTATTGTAACACGTTCTGAGGCCCCTGTTGTATTAAACCCATCGCCCACCCCAAACAAACGGTTCATATCACTTATGTACAAATGCACGGGGTTGGTGTTATTTGGTCGTTAAAAAATCTTTATGTGTATCGTCCTATTATTCCTCTATCGAATGTTTGGATTTACGTCAATAACACACGTGTATGGATATCGATTGATCCAAACAACAAAACGATACACAGAGACAGCTGATTTATAATGCAAGTTAACGATATGGCCAACACTGTATAGCTTAATGGCCGCATGCTTTTATAACCAAGGTCGACAGTTTTACAGAAAGGGAAGATAAGTAACACACAATATATTGGTAGGTGACCAAGCAAAAAATGCCAGCATAAAAAAGAATGCAATATTATAAATATTGTAAAACTCACGTTACAGCCATTGGAAGTTGACTGTTTTGGCTTCTCTCCCTTTTTAGTACAATTTTATTAACGAGGATAAGAACTATTGGGATATCTTGTGAAAGGCTGGCACTTGATCTCCTATTCTAAGTTACAAATAATAGCCTTTCTCTACTCGGAGCCTTAATATGTTTTGAATTAATTATTAACAATCAATAAACGCCATAGCAATATCGTTTCAAGAGCACACCTGACTACTTCCATTATTTACACAAGACCGCCGCTTTAGGTCTCCCACCAAGTCGGGTACAATAATGTATATCATTGTATCATACGGTAATGTAACTTTCCAAATTGTCTTGAGGTCTGGATACTTATTATAGTTGGCGATAGTGAATTCGATTTTTTTTCTAATGATACTGGTTGGAATCGATCACGTACCCTCGAAATTCAAGGGGATACTGACTCTCACTGAAGTTGCACACCACGTAAAGTGTCCTAGCAGCAAACTGAACACAGTCCGCTTATATATGTTAAAGTGTCATTAAAACTTCAGCACAAGCACCTTAAAATATAAATATGATGTTCTAACAGACTTGACACAAACCTCATTAAGCGAAGGTATATATGTTTACAATTACTATACATAACGGGGTAACAGCATTAGAGTATCTTTAGATATAAACACGAGTCGTGTTTAACGTTTTGTCAACTCAAAACGAATCAGAATGAAGTAATATTCATTCATTTTATTATCAGTTAATTCGAAGTTGTAAGTAGCTACATCAAGTTGCAGCCCGCTGTCGCGTCTCTCCTGGCGCGATATGATATGTGGTTATATATAACCGTGTTTTTATATATAACACGATATTCCCCTCATTTATAATTTAGCAGACCTCGGCATTTGGCTCAGTAACATGTATGTCAATGTAGGAAGGGGCTCCTCGCATAACGGTACACGGTTCAAATTTGGTTTCCGACTAATCGGTCAAAACAACACAATGTTTACACTTCACACATCGCCTAAAATTAAGTAGATTATCACATTTGCTAGTTTGATATATTTCGCCATATTGGCTAATTCTTTAGGATTATCACGTGCTGAACGCTGTCTAATATTCACGAAGCTTGATGTTACTTATAATCCTAATACATGTACTGACATTGATTATGATATGTGACACTACTGTGATTTGGAAAAGATTGCGTGCGATACATTGGACAAAGAAAAACCCATGAATACATCATCAAAATGAAAAAGGAATGGACTGTATTTATATTTACAGAACCATTTTAGTAAAACAACTGAAAAGAAATTAACAAGCATGGCCACATGAATATTGTCAAAACGTCGAGAGAAATAGAACTCGTAATACGTGTGATTTAACTGAACATGAATCAAATAAGAACTCGATGTCCTTTGTGCATTTATTTTTGATTTAAATTACACAAAGTAACTACAGCAATATACGCCCTATTTCGTTCCCTGCAGAGATCGTATCCCATTAAAACATTAATAAAGATCGTAGCTGGTTGCGTGCCTCATGCTGTAAAAACATATTAAGATGGGACCCTCGAGGATAAAGAATAAATTCCTATATCTCACACATTATTCACTTGGATTCAAAATAAACAGATAGTAGAGTGACAGCCATTCCAGTGTTATGCGATTGAAAAGCTACTTAGGATAGCAAAAGGAATCAATGAAGCCAACTGGTAAAACCTGACCTAGATGATTTCAAGGTCTCTCCTTCCAATGAATTATATAACAGTACTGGTACCGACAAACGTAATGGTTTTCTAGACTATAGACACGCATTTTTATTACACCATTCACATCAGAAATCAATAAAAATCATATGCATTATCAAACAATTCTAAACATATAGGATATAGTAACAACCCGACTGAGACGACCTCTGTCTTGACACTAACAGTATGAAGAT